TCACTAGCGCCGATGACTTGATGTTCTATTCTTCAGTTAATAACGGATCAAGAGCAACCGCTGCCCGAGAGTTGAGATATCGACCACTTTTTATTACATGGCAAGAACCGGACAGGCACATTCCGATCTAGTTTTTTTTTTGTTCACCGGAACAGTATTCTTTCTAGANTTTTAATAATTTCATTTTTCTAGAAATAGAATGGACAATATTTATACAATAACACAGCGATAGAGAAACGACAGAGATAGGGAAGTAATTTGCCCCTTTCATAAATTTCAAGCAGGCATTCGGTAAAGGGAAGATTTTTTAAGAAAAATACATGAAAGAGAGGTAGTATTAGAAAATAATAAACTATGGGCGTATGCGACTGACTGTGTTGGCAGCAGATAAAGAAAAGGTAATGAAAAGTATGATAATAACCCTAAAAACTAACTAAACCTAATATGTATCCAATAAAAAAAGCATGGAATTAAATCCGACAAAATCAAAAGTTTTAGTATTTAGCAAAAAAGAAGAGACAGAAGAGGTTAACGAAATTCAAGTCCAATCCAAGTAGGTTAAAAAAGAAAGAGAAGAAAGAATATGAAAATCAAGATATTCAAACAATTATTTGCAATAGAGGCAAGAAGTGCCGGAATATCTACAAAAAAAAAATGGTAGCTAGGTTCAAAACAGGAAACGAATGAAAAGCAAACATTAGCAAAAAAGCTATGGAAAGGAGTGCATACTATGTGAAGAACACGAAGAAATAACAGACAGAGATAAATGAAAGAATTGAAAAATTGATGGCAGGATCAGAGGGGGACGTGGGATGAAAGAAAAAAATAGTAGATCCACGAAAACGATTTAATAAAAACTTATGATAGGATGCCATAAACTTGTTATGCACGCCATGTACTCCACAAGGAAAATCATTATTTTAATAAAAAAAATCTCATTTCTCTAGCAAAATCTTTTCAATATGAAGGAAAGCGTCTACCTGACTAGAAAAGGGTTAACAAACTTGCCTCGAACGTCAAAAAACTCCCTTCAGAGGAAAGCAACATTTAAACTGGTCTGAGATGGGCTGAGAGCATTTCAAACACTTATTCCAATTGATGGAATTCTCAACTACATAATTGTTCCTTTCCATTATAAACAAATGATTTCACATTTAATTTACCCATACAACACAAATTTCATTTCAGATAGATCTATACATGGTAAGATATTTTTAATTTCCCTCAAAAGATAAGTTCTTTTCAATTCAGCAATGGTCAAATCAACATATCTGACCAGTAAAAAGTACATAATTATTCACAGTAACATGATCAAATGGAAATAATATTCTACGTTACAAAATATCACTACAAAATTCATTGATTGTTTATTTTTAAAACTGTAACCAAAAGCCAATTGCATTTTTGTGGCAGGTTAGTTTGGTTAACATTAAAAATAAAAAATACGGTACAAAGAACAAAATTTGAAAATATCAAGAACATTTTTTTCAACTGGTTTTACTTTCAATGTTAGTGCCAAAACTTTATCATAGCCCAACCCACGTCCAATCACGAATCAGATACTTTTATGCACATTTTTGTGCGTCTGGTGTCTGCTGTTGCTATGACCCAAAAATAAAAGCAGAAAAAGTGTAACTTATTATTTGTCCATGAGAAATCGTTGTTTTTTTTTGTCGATGCTATGTGGATATTCTTAGACACTTTTTTTATACACCCGTAATGAAACATTATGGTAGGTCGTGATAGAAACAAGAAACATGCGACAGGCGACATTGTTTATTCAAACACTTGCTCTGATGACACGTAAAAACTTGCAATAAACACTTTTAATGCATGCATGTGAATGTTTTGACAAAAATGTAATTATACATTATTCGTACCTGTGCGCTCCCGCAAATACATTGCCACTTATTTAAAGGATTTCCGAGAATATGGAAACAATAAACGGATAACCAACGGTTTTTTATAGCTGTTATACATTTTTTCCTACGAATTGTGGAAAATGATATTAATTTATGTCTGCCTTTCATTGCAAATTACGACTACAGAAACATTACAGAAAAACATGAATAATTTTAATTTTCGCGAACAAAACCTCATTGAAAACGAATGCATAGAAATGGTTATATTGTAAGTTTCTATAGATGCATAAGTATTTAACTGGCAGAAGTTGGTTTGTCATTGCTACCAATTTTTTCGTCTATACAATTACCTATTATTTTATTCTGTTAAAGAAACAACATACACACGAAAGAAAAAACAACGACTTTGTCACAACTGTGTGTTATTATGTTATATTATTAACTAGGTTTGGCCTGCAACTTCGCCCCCATGAAACTATTTCTAATTGTTTATAAGCTTGGTTAAATACAATCACCTTTAATAATCTTTTTCGAATTTCTAAATTAATCGTTCGCAAGCATAAAAGTGACTCCTTTTTATTGAAGGCGACTCGATCCTTCGCTATCCTCTGCTTTATATCCCTACTGCTCCTTCCGTCTTGACTCATCTCACTTCCTAGTTACCTAAAATCGACCACTTCTTCTAACTTTTCGTCTCCTATCTTTATAGTCGCTATTTCCCTACTTTTTCTTCCCTTGTATACCAGTATTTTTATTTATTTTCATATAATACTGTTTTGTCAATACCGTTTCCATTTTATTTAAAACTATCTCTAACTCCTCCTTGCTAGATGCTAATACTGCTAAATCATCTGCAAATCTAAGCATACTAATCTTTTGCCCTTCTCTTTTAATCCCTACAGTTGTACTATTTTTAATGATGTTGATCGCGTCTTAACCAATAAGCAATTTAAAGAAACGTAGTCTAGATAATACCCGACAATCTTCTTTTCATGTCTGTAAAGTTTCATCGAAATCGGTTCAGCGGTTTCGAAGATTAGCCGGTTCAGACAAATTTTTTTTAGGGTCGTTTGTACCTAACTGCATTTAAATAACTACATGAACTTAAAAAAAGCCAGACATTTTGATATTACAAACACTTCAATATTATTTATACATATGTAGGTATGTACAAGACATATGTAGGTACCTACGTATATGCAATTGTTTCAACAAGTTCACTTACACAATCTTAGAAGGCGTTGTCTCTCACCACGACTATCGGCTAACATTTGTAATAATTTTAATTATGAGCAAAGGCGTGTATGTAATAAAAATGAAAGGTATGTGGTTCAAATTTTTTGAGGGTCATTGGTTCAATTTAATATCTGAACGACTTAGCATCTAGAAACCTTACGTTGACAAATTAAACTCAGATTTCATAAAAGAAAACTGCAAAGAGCTTGGTCTGCAATTGACTTATCGAACCCGCAATTTTTTAGATTTATGGTTAAAAAATTAGAAAGGCATGTTCCTTTCCTGATGCGCGTAATGTTTCGATTTAATTTTCTTTATCGGTGACATTTATTTATGTCGATGATTTTGGACAGTTCACGTTTTTGGCCGAACATGATTTTTCTCAATTCTGCAGTGAATCACATATGACAAGCGAGTACAACAAATTATGCAGATGTTTATAAAAATACATCGGAACGATAACGGTTTAAGGGCACAGCTGGGCATCGGGTGCCAAAAGTTAAAATTAGTTCCGATTTCTCGTTCCTTAGAATCGCTTTTTTTAAATGTTATGTTGGTGCGCGTGTGGCAAAGCCAATAAAAAAAGTCGAAAAACAACGGAGTAAATGACCCCAAGGACAACGATGTCGTCGACTAAAATATGAATAAATATCCGTGTATTTGTGTCTCCTATGTGAACATAACATGACTTTACGTAACTACTAAATAGGTAGATTCGAAATTAACCAAATTGCACGTTATTTCAGTCAATCGGTTTCACAAATGATAATTTAACCACACGCGTATTTAATATTCAACGTTTTACATTTTTATTATCAAATATGTTTAATTTTTTGTAAGGTAAATTTTTTCCTTTAAATTAGATTTTAAAATTAAAGCAATAACGGGGTTAGAAGATCTTATTTATTTAAGAACTACACGTCAACGTTTCGCCCAGGTTGTTTGTTGGACATCCAAAGTAACCCAGGTGGGCTAGCATTTTTTAGGGTCCGCCCGAGTACCCGGCAGTGACGGTTAATCGGACTAGAGAGGTTTAATCATGCAATTTTTAATTTGAAAAATCAGCATTAATTAAATTTAAATTGAAATGAGATCAAGAAAGCTAGATCGTCAATTTCGAGATAGCAGAGGACCCAAAAACCACGCACGTAACGTATTAACATCATAAATATATAAATTTTAAATAACGTATAATATGCTTGAAAATTTAAAACCAATGTGTATTAAATTTAAAATGTTGTAATTAAATTTACATTATTATTCATGCAACCATATGTTGCTTTTGAATGAAAAAAAATCATTTGGATTTTAATATAATCTGCAATCGTATTTGTTAATAACTTCAAACAAATCTAAAAGGAATTCTTGTATTTGTATTTAGATTTGATTTCTGTATGTAGCTTTCTAATTACACAATTTCGTTTTAATCGAACTTGTACTTTTTTAATAATTGCACGCACTATGCAGTTGACTCTGGTTAATTCGAAACTCGAGGGACTCTTAAAATATTACGAATTATCGAGTGTTTCAAGTTGATACAAGTTAGAACTTGCCTCAAAATGTATGTATGTACTTACAATCTTTCTGTCTTTCTCTCTGCAACTTTGAATTTCGAGTGTTTGACGTCGATGAGTTCGAATTAGCGCGTCGTCTTATTTTTTTGTTCGAATTACCAAGTGCATAAAAATGTATTGATTTAGTTCGAAATATAAAGAGATTTTGTAGGGAACTCGTGATAACTTTGAATTATCGAAAGGATCGAATTATCGCAGATTTGAATTAACGAGAGTCGACATTTAAAACTGATCCCACAGTCACACACTTTAAATAGTAATTTGCGTTATATATTTTTTTAATAAACGGATTCATATGATACATATAGAGCGCATAAATGGTACTTACATTGTGGCCTAGGTGGGTACGGTTGTTGATGACCAATGTGTCCGCGATGTGGATGTCCATGGCCGGAAGGATGGTGATAATGGTAAGGACTAAGGAATTGCTGTTGGTTATGGTGATAGCCTAAAGGTGAGTGAGGTCCAAGACCCGATGGGGGTTGAAGACGGGCCTTGAGCTCGTCCGTTGACGTGTGACCGCTGGAAGAACTGTCCACGTCCGAAACTCCCGAATCAGCTGGACTTGGCGGTAATGAACCTGAAACAACAGAAAAGAAGTCTTAGTTGCTAAACTCCGTCAGCATGATTCGCAGTTTCAAATGTTTAGACTCAGATCCTGAAAAAAATGTTACTATTGGCCAAGTATTTCCTATCACTACAAAATAGAAAATATGCAGGTAACGAATTAGTTACTGCAAGCAGCAGTCAGGATTTACGAGGCGGTTCTGAAAGTAATCAAAAGCCCCTTTATAATCTCTAGTCGGACGAGAAATAAACGTTAGCTACAATTAATCATATTCCATTAATCCCTTAATTCGGTCTTTTTTCGTTGGCCATTCTGTATCCGAAGACGGTTTCCTTTCCCTATACCTCGTCTGCGACCGTCTGTCCGGTTGCACTATTAGTTACGCATGCCTTATACATCCCTCGGCCGAACATAAACACCGACAACCCCCTTTTCCAAAAACGACGACAGCACAACCCGTTCGTCTCTTTATTCCATTCCTTTTGTCCACTGACCACGAAAAGAGAATACGAGAACCTGTTCTGCCTTTGATTCCGCGAGTCCATCCCTTAATGTCCGGCTTGACCCGCCGACCCCGCTGCCCATTAATCATATCTATTATACTGGTCGAGGTCATCACGGGGTCACCGTTCGCGCCAGTCGACCAGTTCGTTCCTCGGACGCAGTAGGAATTAGGAGGAACGTTCATTGGTCAAATGGACGAAAATGTTCTCTCGAATTATGTCGTTACCTCCGGTGACCGTTGGTGATGGTCGTTTCCGATGGACGGACGTGGAGTGTGAAAGGATATTATTGCACGATGACGAAGACAACACCGCCACCGCTCACTTTGACTGTGACTCGTGAGAACTGGATTGACCTCCGAAATAAGGAGGACGGTAAGAAGGAAGATCCTCCTCTCTATTACGTATTCAATTTTCACGGCACATATGCTGCTTCCTTTCACCATACAAGGGGATCCCAAACAATCGGTTTTAACAAAATATAAAACCACCTACTTCAACAATTTTGGACCAACTAAGACTAAATATTATTTTCTATACGATGAGTATGTTTATTAAGAAAAAATCGTTGAATCAGTTTTGTTTCATTTAAATGGGACTAATTCGTAGGTTAACCTCTTTCAAATCATAAACAATCATGTCACTTGGCAGTGAAATCCCTACAAAAAAAATTGGAATAATTTTGTTTTGAATTTAAATTACAAACTAATAGAGTTTCATGTAAAACCGATAAAAAACACTTTAATTTTTACATAAAATTTTCTTGGTTTTTTTGCGTATTCCAAACAACAGCACAATCAAAATTGTTTTGAAATGTCACTACAATTCTACAAATTGTTAAAAAGACACTAGTTGAATATTTTTTTCTTCATTTTAATTATTAACATACAAATATACTTATATATGAAACATCAATGCTGCACTTCTACAGTCGTGCTCAGGATTTTCCTGAACAACTGGTATCATTCATTAGTGAATAACCAAATGATACCGAAAGCGATTTACCATTTACATTCCCTTTCGCCATCGAAATACGTGCTCTTTAATGTGTTATGATTTATTTTGGCGTTGAACGGGTCAGACAATTGTGTTTCGGCGGGTCGTTCGAGGCGGTTACCGATTTACGTTGAATTCAATTAAAGAACTAACCCATAATGCAAGCAAAACACGTTTATATATGCATTGCATTAAATCCTTACGTGCATAAATGCACAGGTAGAAAAAAGGAATTCATGTTCGGTCGTAAGAATGTGTTTTTCGATTAATCGTTTTATTTACGGGAGTCTTGTAGGTATAGAGCTAAGGGCATCAGGTATGTATTACGTATTCCAACGAGTGACCTAAAATCGCGGTACTTTTGACGCAGTCTTGTATACTACTTTATTTCTGCTCAATAATATTTTTGAATTAATTTTTCATCTTTCCTTCTCTTCACTTACCTCCTCTTCGAATCTATTCATACATTCCTTGTTTTATCTCATCCATATTTTTGAGCAGTTCTTCGTATCCTCTTGCTTATCATTCTTTTTATCTCTTAATTATATCTTAACAAATCCCTTGAATATTTCCAACAGGCTTCAGTCCATCTTTAGTTCCGCCTTTTTTTCCATTTGAATTTTTTTCCATCTTCTACTTTTCTTTTTTAAATTTACATTATTCCTTGACTTGTGATTTTTTTTTACTTTTTTGATTCCTTGTTCACCTTCTGTGCATAATGTATTTTCGCTATCAATTCCTATCAAAACCCTTTGCCGTAGTTCATAGTTATACCTTTTATTACCATTTTACTCCTCCTCTTTGTTCCTAGTTTTAGTGAAATACGAAGATTAGGTCAAGATAGGAAAGAGTGGAGGTGCGTGTCCAACCAGTCTCAGTACTGACGAACTTATGATGATGATTCCTTCTCTTGTAATATTTTAATAATTCCTCTCCGTTGCATGTTACGAGTCTTTCCCATTGAATTCAACAATGTAAAATATTTGAACACAATTTCACACATCCAAATTCTTTTTCTCGTTAAATTAATCAATTTAATTAATACATTTGAAATTTAATTCAGCACTTATATCCTAAACAATGTGCCAGAAATATACTTTAAAAAAAAATAAATTCCGTATTCCAATAGAACCTACTAATTTGTCTAAGAGAGTAGTTCTAAAATGGAAAAAAATGAATTAGGGTATGACATTTCTTTACGCAGTACCTGCATTTTCGTCATTATTAAAAATTGCACCCTTCATAACTTCTCTGTTAAATGCTCTTACTGCTGATACTTCTTTTTTTAGTTTTATAAAAAAAATAAACTTATAAAATTAAGGCGAATTTTAAAAATTCAGAATATAAGTACTAACATCATCAATTTCTACAACTGCCCCTTTGCTTGAAGTTTACAGACTTGTGTTTCACAATGAATGAACCACTTTGACGTAGGGAATTGAAAATATTAATTTTTTTTTAAAAATTTAAATACGTGTAGCTATTACATTCTTATTCTGAAATCAAAAATTTATAACTGCCTTTCCAAAGTTTTTATTCTGCAACTTAAATGAATGCAGTATTACAAAAAGCACTATTTTATAAATCACTATTAACGTTAGAATACGTAAGAATCTTTTTACAAAGTTATATTGCAAATGTTCTTTCACATAGAATTTTTTATTACTTCATCATCACCACGAAAACTATCACACAATTATATCTACATGCTAGATACTTCCTCTGTACCTGAGATTTAAGTGGATCAGATCTACTCCCATTATTCGTCTAGATCTATTCAAAACATCATGTTGATCTTAACACCGATACAATAGATCCCGAGATGGGGCAAGAGCCGTGTAATGTAGAACAAATAGGTGTAAAGAGTCGGCTCGTAAAACGGATAAGCGAATTATGTGTTATTAGACAAAACGAAAAGGCCAGGTAGATAAGCGACGTAACAATATCGCCGGCGGTGGTTGATCTCTTTGATTCGGACACTTCACGTGCGACAAAACTGAGACAAGATGCAAATTTGTGGGTTCAAAGGGACAATGATTTAGACCGATGGGATCAAAACATTGTAACATATACCACGAATAAAATCATAACAATGGCTTTCTTCTTAAACGTAAGAATAGAGTTAAGAGTAAGCCAATAAAAAAAAAAGGTTGTTAAAGGTGTATGTTTGGAGCGCGGCGTTGTACGGGTGCGAAACATGGACAGTGGGAGCGGCGGAAAAGAAAAGGTTAGAAGCGTTCGAAATGTGGTGTTATAGGCGGATGATGGGGATATCGTGGGTAGAAAAGGTTAGAAATGAAGAGGTATTGGAAAGAATAGGAGAACAGAGGACTCTATGGAAGTCTTCTTAGGCATAAAGGTCTAGTCAGAGACATATTAGAGGCAGAAACAGGAGTTAGGAGGGGTAGAGGTAGACCCAGATTAGATTACTGTTCGCAAATAGTTAGGGATGTGGGTTGTTCTAGTTTTAGGGAAATGCGAAGTTTAGCTCAGGATAGGAAAGAGTGGAGGTACGTGTCCAACCAGTCTTAGGACTGACGACCTTATGATGATGAAGCCAATAAAAAGGAAGAACAACGATAGGAAAAAAATTAGGAACATTCGAGCGTCCTTTCTATAAAGGAAAATTTTGATTTATTATGACAGTATTTTGAGAAAAACAACCACGTTTATGTAAATAGGTTATTTATACATCTACACACACAAGTACCCGAATGTAAAATCTAATTTATATGCAAACATGAAGAGGAGGTTGTCGGGAGCGATTTCGACTACTTTTTTTGTTATTAATTAAATTAATTCAAGTTTCACGCGTACAAAGCCGCGCTTAAAAACTAATAGAATTAAAGGAAACGTGTATCTATATCATGAATATCACAAAAATGTGCAGAGTGTAAGTCTCATGTAGCAATTTAGGGACATGTCGATATAGGAATTTCTCCGTAGGTTCCCTATTACAATCCTCACAAAAGAAATCAGGGATACTAAAGCAATGAATACCTCAAGAGTTTTTCATAAGAATTTCGTGAATCAAACCTAACAGATGTAGGTGCAACTTTACAAAGAAGTAGACAATTCCACAGTGTTATATGAGAATTAGATTAAGCAAACATCAAATATTGCAACTCTTCTTAGATAAACTTGTGGTCATCTACTTCTGGGCCACATTTCAGTATTATCAGATGGTATAATCCGATTGATTCTCTCATTTGTTTTTTTTTAAACGAGTAGCAATCATTTTTCTTCTGAGGCCATACAGGAAGCTTTTCATTTTAAAAACAGGACATAAGGAATAGTTTTAAATAAATCATTAGAATATAACGGGTGACAACCCTAACGTGTACCCATTAATGACAAAAAAGTAATCAGTGACAATAAACATAGAGCAAACACATATTAAGCAACATCTGAAATCTTCACTCTAGAAAAATATTAGACACTGTTTAAAGTTGATAAAATTAAAAATTAAATCAAAAAACTTGGGAATTTCACTTAAAACTTTATTATAAACTC